GGCGCGGCGTGGACACGAAGGCGCCGACGCGCGTCGGCTTCCTCGGCGTCGCGCGCGACCGGAAGCTGCTCGTCTGGGCGCGCGACGCGGCGGAGCTCGGCCCTCACACGGCCGTGCTCAGCGAGCGCTACGCGGCGCTCGGCCGCCGCATGGCCGCGCGGGCGGACCCGCCGGGCTGGGACGACGTCGGCGACGGGTCGTCGAAGCCGCTCGCGGCCGGCGGCGGCAACCTGCGGTGCATCAAGCTGCCCGTCTGCGACCTCGCGGGTACGTCGTCCTACGTCGTCGCCTTCGGGTGCGGCTACCCGCTCGCCAAGGCCCAGTCGCTCTGCGAGCGCCTCGCGCTGCTCCTGGGCCCGCTCGTCGACGCGGAGCTCGCGTCCCGGGACGCGACGGCGAAGAAGGCCAAGGGCGTGTCGCCCGAGGGCGCCAAGCAGCTCCGCGAGGTCCTCGAGCGCGAGATCGCCGCGGCCAACTCGTCCGCGCGGCTCCACGAGGTCGCGAACCAGGTCGAGGAGGTCCGCGCGATCATGGAGAAAAACGTCGAGATGATCCTCGACCGCGGCGAGCAGCTCGAGAGCCTCGACGCCAAGTCCGAGGAGCTGTCCACGGCGACGGGCATGTTCCGCAAGCAGGCGCGCAAGCTCAAGCGCTGGCACCTCATGAACCAGGTCAAGTACGGCCTCGCCGTCGGCACCATCGTGACCGCGTCCGTCGCCGTCCCCATCGCCATCCTCGTCGCCGCCTAAGCGCCGCTCGATACTAGTAGTACCGGGTTCAATTCGCATATGATCAACAGCGCATCCGTACGCGTGGACTCCACGGTGACCCGCGAGTTTAGGCCGCCTTCCCGCGCGAGATGGGCGCGCCCGTCCAGGGCGACGTCGCGAGGTGGTACTGCGAGAGCAGGTGCGGCACGCCGAAGATGGCCGCGCAGCCCGCGGCGTACTCGGCGAGGTCGGTGGGGCCCGGCGCGCGCTTCACGCCGCCGGTGGCGCACGCGTGGACCGCGTTCGAGAACACGACGAGGCCCAGCAGGATCGCGAGCTGCGGCACGGGCGCGGGCGGCCCGTGGATCGGGAGCCCCGTCGGCCCGCCCTTCCCGAGCTTGATCTTGACGATGCCCGAACTGATGAGCACGACGACGGGCGCGGCGGCGAGCGCCGGCTCGAAGCCGAGCCAATTCATGAGGTGGACCGACGCCATGCCCCAGTTGAGCTCGCCGATGAAGAAGGCCGCGTGTGTCAGCATGCCGAACAAGGGCTTCACATTCTCCTGGTCGAGGGGCACCTCCGCCGTGCACGCGTTGGTCAGCAAAGTCTCGTGCCAGTTGTAGGGGGGCGTGACCATGAAGATGAATCCGATCACCAGGAAGAGGCACGGCGCCGCCCCGCCGACGTCCATGCTCCACACAAGCGCCTGGGAATGCACCAAGGCTGAAGGCAAGGAAAGCTTCAATGTACTTACGCCGACGCCGCCACGCCGTACTTCTCGGCGAGCGCCCGGGGGATGGCCGCGTCGAAGAAGCCCGGCCGGCCGCGCGTCGGCACGGGCGCGTCGAGGAACCGCGCGTTCTTCATCGTCGTCAGGTACCGGCCCATGGCCGCGCCCGTCGCGACCGCGCCCGTCTCGACGGCGAGCAGGCTGCGCTCCGCGACGTCGTCGACGAGGACCGTCTCGCCGACGTCGACGAGCGCGACGATGGTGCCGCGCGCCGCGCCGTCCGGCAGCGTCGTCAGGCGGTCGATGTCCGCCTCGGAGAGGCCGTCGCGCGCCATGATGTCGCGGTGCGCGCCGCCGTCGGGGTAGGTCCGCCGGCCCACGTGCAGCGCCACGGTCTGGCCCTCCAACGGCACGAACATGGTGTGGTTCCGCGTCTCCAGCGTCTTGTAGCCGTGGGCCACGAGGCCCGCGAAGGGCATGTTCATGCTGAAGCAGGGGACGCGCACGACGTCCGCGTCCTCGGCGCCCGCGAGCGCGACGCTGTCGCACTGCTTGCGTCCCCGGCCGTCGCGGCCCACGGTCACGGTGACCTCGGCGCCCGCGCGGAGCGCGTCGACGCTGCCGGAGACGGACGACCGGTGGAAGAAGACGTCCTTGGCCTCGCCGGGCACTGTACAGAACCCGAAGCCCTTCTC